ATATAATATTTTAGGCTTGTATATGCATGTGAATAAACAGATTTTGTTCACAGAAAAAAAATCATTTCGATAATATATTAACGAAATTAATTAAGGATTTCTTTAATGTAAACTAAAAAAATATATGATAAACTAAAAAAAATGTATATGGTCTTTTTGGTTTTTATAAATTTGCATTTCAAAAGATTTCTAGTACCACATTGTTTTGGAATTGCTTGCATGTATATATTTATATACTAGGGTGTAAAATGAATATAGTTGTATTAATATTAACGTATACAAAAGTATACATATATTATTTATTTTATAATTTATATTTTTAATTATTATTTTAATAAATAATTTAGATTTAATTATATTTTTTTTATAATCATTTATTTAAGTGAATGAATAACTATGAACTAAAAATATTTTAAAATATATTTTAATTAAAAGTATATTTTTTTGACAAATAATTAAAGTAAAAGTATATTTTAATACATAATTAAAATAATATTTTTTATAATTATTATTCGTCAGAAATATTAAGTTAAAGTAGTGGAAGAGTGACAATATAATATTTGTATATCTATAAGAGATAAAAGTGTAATTTACTTGATATTTAAACATATGAATGATGTATAGTGTAATACTTATATTTTTTAGGTAAAAGGAGTGCAATTTTATATTAACAGTGTTAAGTTAAATGAACTAAATTTTATATTTTAATATAAGAGAGAAAAATAGTATAATATTACGTAATTTACTTTGAATTATATATACATATAAATATTATGTTTGAATATATAAATTATATTTAAATCTTGTATAAATAAATATTTTTAAACAAATAAATTATATTTTAGATTTATGATAAGTAATTTTTATTATAATAAAGTATTTTTATTTTATTTTATTGATAATTTAGTTAAAAAATATTAAATTCTAATTCATAAATAATTATGATAAATAAAAATAAAAATATATAAAAATTCAAAATAAAAATAAAAACCATCTAATCGAAGAAAAAATCTCAAATACACTTATGCAAGATAAAAATTTGTGTTTAATATTTAGAGGTTGATTGGTATATTAAAAGTTAGCTTAAATATATTTTTAACCGGTGTGAAATTAGATAGTTTTTATTTTGGTTTATGTAAAGTATTTTATTTATTTTCACCCCTCTAAACTTGTAATTATTATTTTTGGTCTATCTTTTATATGATCATTTTTTAAATATTTTTTGTTTATTAAAATATTAATTGATGATCCTAAGTATTACTCATAACTATAAGTCATGTCAATATTTGATATTTCTAAAAATTTGTGTAGATTTTTTAAATGAATATTATTTATCTGTGTTAAAATACTCATTAGAGATAAAAAAAAAAGTGACTTTAAATTTTAGAAGGATAATATATATATATATATATATTTGGTTTACAAATACCAAAACAATGTTTATAAATTTCAAAAGAATAAAAAAATTATAAAGACCAAAATAAGAAACCCGGGAAATAAAAAAATATTTAAAACATAAGTTTTGATTTTATTGTCCATCCTTATTAATTAGATTTTAAATGTGGGAGGTTAACGTTTTTTTTTAATTTAATACTTGAAATTTATTAAGGTACAATATTTAATAATGTATCATGTATGAAAAATATAATGATTGATATATAAATATGTTTTTAATCTTTAATTTTAGTTACTGTAAACAAATTTCCTTATGTTTCATTCTCTAATATTTTTTTTCGAAGAGAACAAAACATTTATAACTATTATTTTTGTCTCATTATCATGTAATAATTTTCAACTACTTGTTTATTAAAATGTTAAGTGATTATAGCTTGTGTTAGTAACAATTGTCAGTGATATCATATTAGTTTATGTAACATTTAAACTTTTTTATAAATTATTAAAATAAATATTATTTATATACTTTAAAATTATCGTCAATGATAAAAAATAGTGATTTTAGATTTTAGTGATGAAAAATCAAAGAATTTTTTTTGTATGGACCAAAACAAAAATTTATTTATTATACAAAGATAAAAGATGTTTTATAAGGACTAGAAACAATATTTACAAATTTTAGAGGGATAAAAAAATTTCAAGAAATAAAATCAAAGCTCATTTATTTTGTATAGATTAAAAACATATTTAAGTTTATAAATTATTTATCATAAATCTAAAAAATAATATATATGATAAAAATATTGATTTATTATATTTTTTAACTGTAATTATATATATTCACCTAAAAAAAACTGTAATTATATATATTGTATCATTTTAGTCTCTCTTATTAAAAATCTAATAATTTTTGTTGATGTAGTGCTAATGGGTGACAAGATGTATCGATATTCCTAATTAATTTTTTATATTTATATTTTAGAAATATTTTGTTAATATATACTAATTTATATTTATGAAATTATAAATTTATCTATAAATATACTAATAATATTATTCATATTAATTTATTAATAATATTATAATACTAATAATTTATATAAATTTTATTTATTTAGTATATATATATAATTTGATACATGAATAAAAAAATTATAATATTTATGTAATTTAAATAGGTCAATAATTTATAATTTTAAAATATTACATATTAATTTTAAAATTATTAAATTTCAAATAAAAATAACTAAAATTGTAGAATTCAGTTAGAAAAATTAATATTATATAATTATAATACTTCAAAAAATAAAATATTTAATTACAATTAAAAAAACCAAAATCGTATACTTATAATCTTGAATGATTAAAATTATTAAATTAAAATCTTAAAAATCAATATCAAAATCATACGATAATAATGTTTAAAAATAAAAAACGTAATTAAGGAAAAGTTGAGAAGGAATTCTTATATGTAATTATCCTAAGATATGGCATTTAAGGATATTGTAACTGTGGGATTGCGTGAAAAAAAAAGAAAAAAGAAAAAAGAAAGAGATATGTGGCGAGTTGTTGGCGTGGACGCAGCAACTAGTGCCCGCCACTCCTAGTTTCTCGCTT